CCCCCCAGCGGCGGGGCCTGCTCGAGTGGCATCGGGCCCACGCTGGACCGATTGAATCGCAGGTAGCGGTTGACACGTTCCTGGTCGAGGAGGACGTCCATCTGGCTGTTTTGTAGAAGACGCGGATGGCCATGCCAGACAGATCACCAGCACCGCCAATTACCGGTTGATCGTTGAGGGCGCGGGCCCGGGCGGACACAGGAGCGTCGCAGTGCTTGTCAGAAGGGGACTCGCGGACACCTACCTCACCACCTATGCTTTCCCGCATACGGACGTGCTCTCGGCCCGAGCAGTGGTGCGGGGGATCCCGTTCTCCGTCGTCGGCGCCCGCGTCCCGCACAACACCGGCACGAGACAGGCTCCTGCCCGGCAGCGCGCGGCACTCGCCGCCCTGACGGCGGTAACAGCGGCGCTCCCGCGGGACCGCTGGCGCCTCGTCGCCGGAGACTTCAACGCCCAGCTGGGGCGCCTCGACACCCAGCCATGCCCGGAGGTAGGGAAGGGCCTGCTCCACGAGTACACCAATGACGCCGGGGTGGCGCTGCTGCAGCTGGCACAGCAGCAGTCGCTTCCTGTCGTCAGCACGGGCGTGAAGGCGCACAACTGCACCGTCACCAGGGTGGACGGGACCAGGCGGTCCCAGCTTGATCACGTGCTGACGGACTTTCCACGGGTCCGACGCGTGGAGGGCCTTGAGCCTTGAGCCGCGGTACGTAGAGTCTGACCACAGGTGTGTCATCGCTGCTTTGGACCCGCCCGCACCCGGCCGTACCTCCCCTGCGGCGCCCGGCGGGCGCCCGGTGGGCCGCTGCTCCACCCTCCCCGCTAGGGTTGGCAACTCGATCACCAGTTTTCGATTAATCGTTCGATCGATTCGACCAAAGTCCCCGATCGATTCGACCCGATTAATCGAAAGCCATAATCGATCAAAATCGATTATAATCGACGAAAATCAAAAAATTCAGTAAAACTTTGAAAACTTCAAAAATATTCAAAGAATATAATTAAACTGAATTAGTATACATGTAAAAACATTATTAATCAAGGAACTTGAACAGAAAACCACATTTCCTCATCCACAGATCTTAAAAAGACTAGTTCATCAACCTTGCTGCCATGCAATCGGTTCCGCAGTTGCGTGAAGATAAGTCCTGCGTGTGAAAAGAGTCTCTCACAAGGCGTAGACGTGGCCACAATCGGCAATACCTCTCGTGCCACTTCATAAATGTAGGGAAATTTATCTTTAATTGTCTCTAGGTATTCGATGGGGTTTGGGAACTTTTTACGGTTGCAGTTAGGCATGTCCAGGTAGCGCTGCAGCTCTTCGGGTATTCTGTTAGGTGGCGGTGGCACGACTGCCGGCGCCGGCTGACTTTGGCGAGCCGCCCGGTGAGCCTGCACATTACGGTCAAGGGAAGACCAAAGATCATCTTCTTCCGCCTGCGTGGCGGGGGGTGGGAGAGGCTGCTCTTCGGCGGGCTCCTCAAAGTCTGGAGCTGCCATCTTAGCTCTCATGAGACTTGCTGGCAAAGAAAGGAAATGGTTAATATTAAGACTGCGTGACGACAAAGGCGAGGGAATTCCCACAAACAGCTGCTCACCAAGGTGGTTAGTTGCATTTTTTAGTGCATCTTTATTTTTGAATGGTAGGGCCTTAAACCGAGGGTCAATGAGAGTTGCCACCGAAAATATCTTCCCAAATTCAAGTGTCCCGAAATTGGTTTTGATGTCTTCTAATAGTTGAGTTCTCAGATTAAAAGCTATGCCACTTTCAGGGATAAATTCATAAATTTTCTGTAGGGGAAGCATGAATATATATATTAAAAAAAACAATTTTCAGTTTAAAAGCAAATTGTATCAGTTTTGAGCAGTATATAACATACCTCTCTCATCAGATTCACTAAGGGAATCACTTTGCTGATAGTGACATGTTTATCAGCACTGGCCTCAACTGTTGCTTGGTAGAGGGGCCGCAGCAGGTCGCGGACCTCTGCCAAGTAACCTATTTCTTCATTACTTAGCATGCTGGGTGGTGTAGCTTTTGTACTTTTTTCCCTATGAACCTTCATCAATGTTAAGGTGACATAGTCAGATAGCTTAAGGAACCTCTCTACCATTTCGTACGCCGAGTTCCACCGCGTTCTGCATTCTTGTATCAGCTTGAGAACTTCATTCTCTTTTTTTCCCGCATCCATCTGATTCTTCTTTAGCTCTGAGGTAGCCACCTCACTTTGTCTGAAGAAAGTTACAATCTTTTTCACTTTTTTCAGCAGATCTGATAGTAGTTCTCCTGAAAATTTGAATTTTAAATAGATACAGTGTGTTTTGAAAATTCTTAAAATGTATGTGGCGGGCCGCCGGGCGCACATAGAGATACAGAGATTATTGCATGTTTACCTGAGTCCACGTTAGCAGGAGCACCGGGCGCTGCTTGCCTGCCGCGTGCTTCGACTTCGACGGTAACTTCTTCGTCGTCCTCGATATCCGACTCTTGCTCGGGAAGTTGGGGTGGAACATCACCGGCCGCCATTTCAGATGGGATGATGTTTTTCTTGTAGAGACCAATTGCTTTTGTGCCCATCAGATTTAGCATGTGACCAAAGCAAGAAATGTGCTTTGAAGTCCCAAAAGCTTCCTTTACTGCCCCCTTAATGTTGCCACCTCCATCAGTAACAACTGCATTTACATTATCAGGGCTGATGTTCCACTGTTCACATATTTTGTCAATCTCTATTTTCAGGTTGGCACTTGTCTTATGACCCTTTAAGGGGCGAGCAGTAAGCTCAATAGTTTTCATATAAACACCTGCCACAATAAAGATAATTTAATAATACAAAAATAGAGACAGTCTTGGGGACTGTCTAAAAATAAAACTAGAAAAAATAT